CAAGACCATCCTGGCCAACATGGTGAAACTCCGTCTCTACTCAAAACACAAAAATTAGCTGGGCGTGGTGGCAAGCGCCTGTAGTCCCAGCTACTTGGGAGGCTGAGGCAGGAGAATTGCTTGAACCTGGGAGGCGGAGCTTGCAGTGAGCTGAGATCCAGCCACTGCAGTCCAGCCTGGGCGACAGAGCGAGACTTCAGACAGTACTATATAACGAATAAAATTACAGTTTTGAAGGATATATAGTGAAAATGCTCCAAAAGAGGGGAAAAAGCAGAAATACAAAATTGCACACATAATTTTGGACACATCTAAATAAATTTTTGGACACACTACATAAATAATTTCTATAAGTGTCTATCTTAATGAATGCTGAAAGTCATTGAAAGATTAGGGCATCTCAGTATATGGGCCATGTAGGCAGCATGATATGGGAAATCCTTGTAACTTGGTAACTATTACAAGTAGACAAATCAAGTGTGATTGGACTACAACGTTCTCTCTCAATGTTTTCCTAAATATTTTTTTCTTTATTACAGTCTTCAAAATTTTCATTTTATTCTGTGATCTTACACATCCATTTTGTTTGATGGTAAATTTCCTTTAAAAATTATAGTTGGAGGCTGGGCACAGTGGCTCACGCCTGTAATCCCAGCACTTTGGGAGGCCGAGGCGGGTGGATCATGTGGTTAGGAGATAGAGACCATCCTGGCCAACATGGTGAAACCCCATCTCTACTAAAAATACAAAAATTAGCCAGATGTGGTGGCACGCACCTGTAATCCCAGCTACTCAGGAGGCTGAGGCAGGAGAATAGCTTGAACCCAGGAGGCAGAGGTTGCAGTGAGCCAAGATCACGCCATTGCACTCTGGTGGCCCCCTACATTTTAAAATATAATTTAAAATTTTTTTTAGAGATAGGCTCTCATTCTGTCTGTCACCCAGGCTGGTGTGCAGTGACATGGTCATAACCCACAGAAGCCTTGAACTCCTGAGCTCAAGAAATCCTCTGACCTCAGTCTCCCAAGTAGCCGCTGCACCTGGGCAAATGTATTGAATTATATAAGTAATTATTATGTATAATTACAAGTAATAATTACACAATTATTAAGATGTTTAAAAATTTTAAAAAGAAAGGCTGTGCACATTGGCTCACGCCTATAATCCCAGCAGTTTGGGAGGCTGGTGGATCGCCTGAGGTCAGGAGTTCGCGATCAACCTGACCAACATAGCCAAACCCCGTCTCTACTAAAAATACAAAAATTAGCTGGGCGTGGTGGCGCATTCCTGTAACCCCAGCTACCTGGACGCTAGCAGGAAGAATCCATTGAACCTGCCGAGGCGGGAGCGTGCACCGCGAGCCAAGGGTCCGGTGCGCCATTGCACCTCCAGCCTGTGGTGACAAGAACAAAACTTTTTGTCCTCAAAAAAAATTAAAACAGAAAAAATTGAGCTCTCTGGGCATGGTGGTCTCATGCCTCTAATTCCCAGCACTCTTGGAAGGCCAAGGAGGAGGATCGCGTTGAGCCAGGAGTAAGAACCAGCCCTGGGCCAACAGTAGCAAGACCTGTCTCTAGCAAAAAAAATTTTTTAAATTAGCCAGTGTATAAGGCCAGGTGCAGTGGCTCAACGCCTGTCGATCCCAGCACTTTGATTGACCCGAGTGGGCAGATCACAAGAGTCAAGAGATAGCAGACGACATCCTGCCACATGGCGGAACCCCATGTTACTAAAAATACAAAAAATAGCCGGGACGCTGGTGGCAGGCGCCTGTAATCCCAGTCTAAACTCAGGGAGGATTGAGGCGCAAGAGAATCACCCTTGAACCCCCCCCCGGAGCAGGGTTGCAGTGAATCCAAAGATCACGCATGGCACTCCAGCTTGGC